CGCGCGATCACCATTGTGAATATGATGATGGTGAGTAGGAGGAGGACACACATACACACACACACATACATACACACACACACACACACACACACACACACACACACACACACACACACACACACACACACACACACACACACACACACACACACACACACACACACACACACACACACACACACACACACACACACACACACACACACACACACACACACACACACACACACACACAACACACACACATACACACACACACACACACACACACACACACACACACACACACACACACACACACACACACACACACACACACACACACACACACATATACAAACACACACACAAACACACACACACAAAAAAGAAATTACAGAGACGCACACAAATTATCAAATATGTAAAAATACTTAATGGAAAGCCTAATATGGCAACACTTTTTATGAGTTGCCACGTTTTTTTTTGTTCGTAGCGATAAAGGGAAAGTAATTAAGAGGAAAATGAGACTAATAACACTCATTTTGTAATTACACTCGATATATAATTAATATATTAATTAGTTTCTGTATCGGTGTGTAAGTAAGAGAGAAGGTGATAAAAGTGACAGAAAGATAACAATAAAATTAGAGAAAACGCAGATAGGAGGGGGAATAATAAAAAAACAAAATAAATGAAAGAGAGAGAGAAAAACAAACAAACTATATAACCTCCCTTACACACACGCAAACACACATACACATACGCTTATGTATTATAAATGCAAGTAAAACGAACAAAAAACGAAATAAAATTAAAATAAAATCACTCAATCCTCTCTCTCTGTCTTTCTTTCTCTCTCTCTCTCTCACTCTCTCTTTCTCTCTCTCTCTCTCTCTCTCTCTCTCTCTCTCTCTCTCTCTCTCCCCCCCCCCCCCCTCTCTCTCTCTCTCTCTCTTTCTTTCTCTCTCCCCCTCTCCCTTTCCCTGTCCCTCTCCTTGTCCCTGTCCCTGTCCCTCTCCCTCTCCCTCTCTCTCTCTCTCTCTCTCTCTCTCTCTCTCTCTCTCTCTCTCTCTCTCTCTCTCTCTCTCTCTCTCTCTCTCCCTCTCCCTCTCCCTCTCCCTCTCCCTGTCCTTCTCCTTCTCCCTCTCCCTCTCCCTCTCCCTCTCTCTCTCTCTCTCTCTCTCTCTCTCTCCCTCCCTCCTCTCTCTCTCTCTCTCTCTCTCTCTCTCTCTCTCTCTCTCTCTCTCTCTCTCTCTCTCTCTCTCTCTCTCTCTCTCTCTCTCTCTCTCCATCTCCCTCTCCCTTTCTCCCTCTCTCTCTCTTTCTCTCTCTCTCTCTTTCTCTCTCTCTTTCTCTCTCTCCCTCTCTCTCTCTTTCACTCTTTCTCTCTATCTCTCTCTCTTTCTCTCTTTCTTTCTCTCTCTCTCTGTCTAGCAGGTAGACAACGATATAATCAGACGGAAGACACTAGAAACAACACACGCGATGGTTGTAAAAGTTCCATAATCGACCGAACGAAAATAGAAACGATATTTGCGTGCCGTTTATCTTAAAGAAAGTGGACCTACTTTATAAGTATCGATACAAAAAAAATAAAGGAAAGATGATAGAAGTTTCAGGAGAAATTTTAAGTTTAAGGAAGAGAGGGTGGAAGGAGAGAGTCTCTGTTTTGATGCAAAGGAAGTGGACTAAAGAAGAAATTATGTGGAGGAATACAGGCTTATAGATATTTCTGTGAATATCCTTTCTAAGGGAGATGGATGGATGGATGGATAGATGATGGATGGATGGGTGGGTGGATGAATGGGTGGATGAAAGGACGGATGGATAGATAGAGAGTAAGATAGAGGGTTAAAAAGATAGATAGATAGATGGATATGTGGATAGATAGATAGATGAATAGATAGATAGATAGATGAATAGATAGATAAATAGATAAATAACTAGAAAGACAGACAGAAAGACAGTCAGATAGATAAATAAATAGATAGAGAAGCAACATCGAGACAGAAGGAAGGTTCGTGGAATCTGACATATACGCTGTGACATCCGCAACTGAAAGGTTAAACTCCAAACTAAAGTAATGGGTAAATCTAGTTTGAAATTTGCCGATGAGATGAGTAACTATCCCATTTTTAAGACCATAATTCTATCCCATTTTTAAGACCATAATTCCTCTGTAATTATTGCTTAAGAGAAAGATAGAAATATATTTCTGAGAATTGTGGAATGTCGCTTGAGGTTTATAGCGGTTAGGGAACGATATGATTAGAGAATGTCCGATGATTTTAGAAATGGAATTGCTGTTTCCTTATTTTAAACGAAATCTGAGCTGAAGAGATTTACACTGAAAAAAAAAATCATGAAGGAAGTAAACTGACATTACGAAACGGAAAAGAGGAAAGAAAATAATCTATTTTAACAAAGGAGAAAGAAGGAGACGCCATCATCGTTAAAGAATATAAACAGCATAACCAGAACCATCGAAGACTGAAAAAAGAGTGAAAGAAAAACA